AAAACAATTCCATTTATAGTAGCAACAACAAAAACAACAACAAAAAAATAGGTGTAAATTTTTAAAAATTGGTTAAATGAGGTAAAAGATCTGTATATACTGAAAACTGTAAGACACTAATAAAAGCAATTGAAAATGACACAAATAAATGGAAAGTTGTTCTGTGAAACAATTAATATTGTTAAAATGCTCATAGTACCCAAAGCAATTTATAAATTCAATGCAACCTCTATCAAAATTCCAGTGTCATTTTTCACAGCAATAGAAAAAATAATCCTTAAATTTGTATGAAACCTTTAAAACAAACCCAGATAGCAAAGGACTCTTGAGCAAAAAGAGCAAAGCCGGAGGTATCACACTTCTTGACATCAAAATATACTGGAAAGCTACAGTAATCAAAAGAGCATAATATTGGCATAAAAACAGACACATTGACCAACACAGCAGGATTCAGAGCTCAGAAATAAACCCACACATTTATAGACAATTGCTTTTAAAAAAAAATTTAAGAACAGGGTCTTACTACATTGCCTCGAACTCCTGTACTAAGAGATCCTCTTGCCTCAGCCTCCCAAGTAGCCGAGACTACTGTCATGAGCCACCACGTGTGGCTAACAATTCATTTTTGCTTCAGGTGCCTAGAACAAACAAGGGAGAAAAGATAAGCTCGTCAACAGATGATGTTGGAACACTGGATACTCATAAGCAGGAGAATAAAATTGGATTATCTTAGACCATATACAAAAATCAATATAAAATATATTAAAGACCTAAATATAGGGCCTGAAACTATAAAACTCCCGAAGAAAACACAGAGAAAAACCTCCACAACATAGGTCTGGGCAACGATTTTTTGGATATGACCCCAAAAGCACAGGCAGCACAAGTAAAAATAGACAAATGAGATAGCATTAAACTAAATAGCTTTCGAACAGCAAAGAAAACAATTAACAGAGTGAAGAGACAGCTCACAGAGTGGGAGGAAATACTTGCAAACCACACATCTGGTAAGGGGTTAATATTCAAGCCATATAAGAAACTCACACAACTCAAAACAGGAAAACAAATCACATGGTTTTTAAATGGGCAAAGAACCTGATTAGATATTTCTCAAAAGAAGACATACAAATCGCCAACAGATCTGTATAAAATAAATGCTCAATATCATTAATTATTAGAGAAATGCAAGTTAAAACCACAGTGAGACAGTACCTCACACTGTTAGAATGGCTATTTTCAAAAAGATGAAATAAAGGCCGAGTGCGGTGTAATCATAAAACATGTTTGTGATGGTTATAATCCTCTTGAATTTGTTAAGCCTCATTTTGTGGCTGTATAAGTCAGTTCTCACACTGCTATACAGAAATACCTGAGATTGGGTAATTTATAAAGAAAAGGGGCATAATTGTCTCACAGTTCCACAGGCTGCATGGGAAGCATGGCAGGAAACTTACAATCATGGCAGAAGGTGAAGGGGAAACAGGCACATCTCACATGGCTAGAGCAGGAGGAAGAAATAATGTACTTATACCTTATGTCTTATTTCAACAGCTCTAATCAGTATCTAGGGTAAAATTAAGTAAGCAGGAAGCCATTGACCTGAGACTCTCTTCATGCTTTGAATTCCTATGAAACAAAGTGCAACCTAACTTAGTATGTAAACAAACTGAACTTAGTAGTTTCATTTTTATAACAGATAGCCAGGTCTTAGCCAATCACAAGCAGCCAAGGTTCAGCAACGCGCAAGCAGCCAAATGACTGACTCATGTCTAAATCAAGCAAAACACTTAGCTGCAACAAATCAAACTATTTCTTTACTTTACTTTCCTGTTGTATTTATAAATACTCATTGTCTACAGTTGCAGAGCTCTCTGAACCTCTTCTGGTTCTGAGCACTGCTTGATTCATGAATCATTCTTTACTCAAATAAACTTAAATTTAAATTGTCTAAGGTTTTTTTGTTTGTTTGTTTGTTTTTCACACTAGATACCCCTCTCAGCAATAGGAAGATGATAGCCCACAGAAGTGAATATATTTTTCTTTTTGTTGTCTCCACTCCATATTATCCACAACAGGGCTCAACCTAATAATAGTAACAACAACAACAGTAATTGTGTGGAAATAGACTATAAGAACTCAGATCAATGTTTTACTATTTTGTGATTCTTAAAGTAAATATTTATAAGTCCATAGTCATATAAATAACTGACTAAATAAATAAATAGAACAATTCTCCTATCAGAAAAATTCCAATTAATAAATGTAAAAAATTAAGGAAATAGAGAATCACCATTAGAACACCACAGTAACAACGGCTGCAGGCAAGATCCACTGATGAATAATAAAACTGATGGGTGAAAGTTTAGGGAGCAAACTGGATATATACATAGCCTCAAAGTATCTCCCCCAAATATTTATTAGTTACCACGGTGCTGTTAACATATACCCACACCTTATTTAATATTCTTTCCTCCAGGGAATAGACTTAATCTACTCAACCCTCACTCCCAGTGTGGGCTGCACTAAGTGACTCCCTTTCAAAAACTAGGGTTTGAATAGGGGAAAATGGTGACTTTACAGCAGAGAAATTTGCCAGTTGCTCCACCTTAACCAGGTGACCAAGGTAACGTCACCAGTGATAAATCATGTTGATATCCGGTATCTCATGTTATGATTCAAGGAGAAGGGCCCCTTACCTCTGTGGCATACTTCCCAAATGTCCATAACCCTAGTCTTATTCAGAGGAAACATCAGACAAACCCAAATGAAGGGACACGCTACAAAATAGCTGCTCAATACTCTTCACAAATGGAAAGGTCATGAAACACTAGAAAAGGCCAAGAATCTTTCATAGAGATGAGAAGAATAAAGAGACAGGATAACAAAATTCTGTGTGGTATGCTGGACTGGATCCTGGAACAGAAAAAGAACGTTAGTCAAAAAACTGGTGAAATCTGAGTAAAATCTGTGGTTCAGTTAATAGTAATGTACCAATGTTAATGTATCGGCATTTATCATTATACCATACTTATATAAGATTTTCACATTAGGTGAAGCTGGATGAGGGGTATTCAGAAACCTTGTACTATCATTACAAGTCTTTCGTAAATCTAAAATATTTCCAAATATAAAAAGTTTTTTAAAATAAGTGATCTACCTTTGATCTACCTTTGAAATGATACCTTTAATTATTATGCTGAATTAGTTCTTGGACACTTTAAAATTATGATTATTGGAGACAAACAAAAATGTAGCTGGGTTTGGTGGCTCATGCCTGTAATCTAAGCACTTTGGGAGGCCAAAGTGGGAGGATTACTTGAGCCCAGGAATGCAAGACCAGCCTGGGAAGCATGGTGAAACCCTGTCTCTACAAAAAATACAAAAATTAGCTGGGTGTGGTAGCATGAACCTACCTGCTACTCAGGAAGCTGAGGTGGGAGCAACTGCTTAAGCTTGGGGAGCAAAGGTTGCAGTAAACCAGAATTGCACCACTGCACTTAAGTCTGGCGACAGAGTAAGATCCTGTCTCAAAAACAAAACAAAAGAAAACAAAACAAAAAAGAAAGAAAAAAGAAGAGCATGGTAGCTCACATCTGTAATCCCAGCACTCTGGAAGGCCAAAGTGGTCGGATCACCTAAAATCAGGATTTCGAGACTGGCCTGGCCAACTACTGCAGGCACAAAAAAAATTAGCCAGGCGTGGTGGCGAGGACCTGTATATTAGCTCGTCCCATGCTCAGGAATGACCAAAACGCACGATGGAGTTGGTTAGAAAAAATTACCCCTCGTAATTTTCTCACTGTTAAAACTTATGCGAAAGCGGTTGCAGCGCCCCTGGTCCACACCTGCGTGCTCCCCAAGGGGTCCCCAAACACCCGCAGGGTCCCCAACCACCCCGCCCCCAGGCTGAGGGCCGTCCTGGCTGAGGGCTGCAGGCGGGCCCCGCCCCGCGCGCCGGGGGCCTCTGCCAGAGCCGCGGCTTTCTCTTCGAGGCTGCGCACTAAGGTGGTGGGCGGTCCGGGGCAGACCGGGAGCCCGAGTGTCTCTGCCGAGCTCCGAGGAAAGGAGTTCCTGCAGCAGCTGCTGTTCCGGAGCCTACGACATGGGGCCCGTGCCGCGCACCCTGGAGCTCTTCTACGACGTGCTGTCCCCCTACTCCTGGCTGGGCTTCGAGGTGACGCTGGGGGTGCCACCTCCGGGGGGGCCTGGGGCGTGAGGGCGGAGGGAAGCGCGAGCGCAGGGCCCAGGGACAGAGGTCTCGTGAAACTCCTGGCGCTGCCCACGGGGTTAGGGCAAGCAGGGAGAGCTCCAGGGCTGAAGGTCAGTTTGTTCTTTGAAACAGGTTAGAGTCGGTGGCTCCAAGCGGAGCCTTTGTATCCCGACCGCAGTTTCCCACAGTGGTGGAAAGAGGGGCGGCTCCAAACGTTCAGGGAGAAATCCTGGGCACGGCCACCTCTTAGCCCAACGATGGCAGTTTTGGGGGAAACTGGCCACAGGAGCAAAAATCCTGGAATAGATTTCTAGAAGTGGGCGGAGTTTTGCCATTTCAAACCAAACAATGTAGGGTGTCCGAATAACCCCTGCTCTGTACTTAGCGCCCCCATTCCCTTTCTCTCGGTCTTTCACTTTTCCATCTGCCTTTCACTTTTCCATGTGCACACTGGCTCTCCTTCTTGACCTCTGCCCGCAGATCCTGTGCCGGTATCAGAACATCTGGAACATCAACCTGCAATTGCGCCCCAGCTTCTTAGGAGGGATCATGAAAGACAGTGGTAGAAAGGGAGGGTAGGGGCAAGGGTGGTTTCAGTGGCCCAGGAGAGCCGACCACAGTGGGTCCTTATACTGGCACTGGCAGCTAGAAAGCTGCCTCTAGCTGCCCTCTGCAGTGGTGGCTCACGCCAGTAATCCCAGCACTTTGGGAGGCTGAGGTGGGTGGATGACTAGGTCACAAGTTCAAGACCAGTCTGGCCAAGATGGTGAAACCCATCTAGTAAAAACACAAAAATTAGCCGCTACGGTGGCAGGCGCCTGTATTTCCAGCTACTAGGGAGTCTGAGGCAGGAGAATTGCTTGAACCCGGGTGGCGGAGGTTGCTGTGAGCTGAGATCACGCCACTGCACTCCAGCCTCTGTCAAAAAAAAGAAAGGCAAGGGAGGGCAGGGCAGGACAGGGCAGAGCAAGACAAGGTGGAGAGGGGATGGGAGAAGAGGGGAGGGGAGCGGAGGGGGAAAGAAAAGAAAGAAAGCTGCCCTCTGCCCAAAACCCAGGTCGAGGTCCCCAAACCTGGGACCCTCAGGTCTTCTCTCACTTTGCATGCCCAACCTTCCCCTGCCAGGAAACAAGGCTCCAGCTCTGATTCCCCGCAAAGCACAATACATGGCAAATGACATAAAGGTCCTGAGACAGCATGTCCAGGTCCCCATCCAGTTCCCTAAGGACTTCTTCTCTGTGATTCTTGAAAAAGGTAAAGAGAGTGGGGTGTAGACAGGGTATCCAGTGAAGGGCAGAGAAGTCAGAGATTGAGGGGTGAGGATGGAGGGGCTGGGGGAGACTAAAGTGAGTGAAGCCTGCCTTGGGAAACCTCCGGATCAGCATTGAGGAAGCTGAAGGTTGCCAGGCATGAAAGGGAGGAAGAGCA